GAAAATATTGAAAAACCAAAGTGTTTTAAACACTTTCGTTGAAACATCAGCGTTTCGCTCGAGACATCCTCCCAAAAAATCCTCTTCCTCCTCCTCCTCTTCCTCCTCCTCCTTTTCCTCCTTCTCCTTCTCCTCCTTCTCCTCCTCCTCCTCCTCCTTCTGTTATTCTTCCTCCTCCTCCTCCTCCTCCTCCTCCTCCTCCGCGTCCTCTTCCTCATCTTCCTCCTGCTCCTCCTCCTCGCCTTCTTCCTACTTCTCCTTCCTCCTCCTCCCCTCCTCCTCCTCCTCCTCCTCCGCCTCCTCCTCCTCCTCCTCCTCCTCCTTCTACTCCTCCTCCTGCCCCTCGGTCCTTCTCTTCTCCCTCTTCCTCCTTCTTTCTCCTCCAACTCCTCCTCCTCCTCCTCCTCCTCCTCCTCCTGTTCTTCCTCCCCTTTTCCTCCTCCTCCTGCTCCTGATTCCTCCTCTTCCTTCCTCGTCCTCCTCCCCCTCCTCCTCATCACCTCTTCTTCCTGTTGTTCTGCTTCTGACCGGTGCGCTTCCTACCTCCTCCTGCCTTCTCCTCCTCCTCCTCCTCCTCCTCCTCCTCCTCCTCCCCTCCTCCTCCTCCTCCTCCTCCTCCTCCCTCCCTCTCACCTTCTCCTCCTCCTCCTCCTCCTCCTCCTCCTCCTCCTCCTCCTCCTCTCCCTTCTTCCCCGGTCGTCGTCTTCGCCGTCGTCTTCCTCATGCGGAGGAGTGGTGAGGATACTCAGGAATATGCTCGTGAACGTTCGGGGGGCGCGTGTCCATACGTATCCCTTGTGAGCGTTCGGAGAGCTCGCCTGTACTACATTTGATCGCGATGATGCTGCAAGTTCTTGCGTAACTCTTCCCTTTCACGCGCTTCCCCTTCATGTCAGGAAAGGTTCCGGAAAAATGGCCGTTTCGCTCGAGACGGCTTTGGAGGGGCTTCCGAACCAGCATTATCTTGGAGTCGCTCCCGGAGGGCCTCAAAATGGCCCAAGAGAGCCCCCAAAGGCCCCCCAGAGGACCCCCAAAACGGCCCAAGAGACCCCCAAGAGGCCCCCAAGAGGCGCCCAGAGGCCCCCCCGAGCGCGCGAAGAGGCCCCAGGACTGGCCAAGAGAGCCCCAAGACGGTCCAAGATAACGCCAAGACAGCCCAAGAGAGCCCCCACAGACCCTCGAGAGACGCTGGACAGTCCAAGAGGGTCACAGAAGCCTCCAAGAGGCTCCCAAAATGCTCCCCACGGGCCCCAATCAGGCCCCCAGAGTCCCACGACAGTCCAAGATAACGCCAAGACAGTCCAAGATAACGCCAAGGCGTCGACGTCGTGTTCGAATCGCTCTTGGAGTGTTTTCCAACGGCCCAAGGGAGGCCCAAAAGACGCCCCGGAGAGCCCCAGGAGCGCCCAAGAGCGCCCCAAGAAGACCCCCAGAGACCCCCAAGAGCGCTCGAGGAGCCACCCACACAGCTCACAAGAACCCCAAGACGGCCCAAGAAGGGCCAAGAAGGCCCCAAGAGACTCCCGGGAGCGCCCCAGGAGGCCCCCAGCGCCGAGACGGCCTAAGAAAGCTCCCACAGAACCCCACGACGCGCCCAGACAGCCCAAGAAGACCCCAGAAGCCCATAAGAGGACCCAAGGGGCCCCCAAGAAACCCCCAACAGGCCCCAAGAGAACCCCGCGCGGCGCCAGGAGCAACGTCTTTCTCCAATTGCCTCGTACTGTCCTCTGTCGTCGTCGTCGTCGTCGTCGTCGTCGTCGTCGTCGTCATCATCGCCCTCCGCATTCCTCCTCGTACTCGCCCTCGGTCTCTTCGTCCTCGTCCTTGTGCTTCTCTTCCTCCTCGTTGTCCTCATGCTCCTCCTCGCTATCCTCACGTTCGCCACGTCGTCCTCGTCATCGACTCCTCGTTGTCCTCGCCTTCCTTTTCTTCTTCGCCCAATACGCCCATTAGACTACAGCGGCGCTTCCCGTTCTTGTCCGATCAGGTTTTTGCATGCCGTCTGAGCCCGCAAGGACCTCTTCAAGCCCCGCGCATCCACACCAGCCCGTCCAGCAACTTTGCCCTGGCGAGTTGCCTTGATCAGAGATGGCGGGGAGCATAAAGTGGAAAAAAGGATTGCGTTGCAGTTATCTTGGGAAAGGAGGGGGAGTCAGGAGGAGTAAACAGGGGACGACGAGAACGCGGAAAGAAAAGGAGGAGGAGCAGGAGGACGAGGAGGGGGAGGAGGGGGAGGAGGAGGAGGAGGAGGAGGACGAGGAGGGGGAGGAGGGGGAGGATGATGATGATGGACGACAATGGGAGGACGATGATGGAGGCCGATGAGGGGGAGGACGACAATGGGAGGACGATGATGAAAGGACGAGGGGGGAGAGGGAGGACGAGGAAGAAGAGGAGGAGGAGGAGGACGAGGTGGAGGAGGAGGATGACGATGACGATGAGGACGAGGACGAGGACGAGGAAGAGGATGAGGAGGAGGAGGAGGAGGAGGAGGAGGAGGAGGAGGAGGAGGAGGAGGAGAGCGCCATCGACAGGGAAGGTGGGGGCCACGAGGTCCGCCGGCTCGACGACGCCCGCGTTGCCCGCGCCCGCCCCCTCACTCGTATCCGCAATTGCGGGGTGCTACGTACGAATCGCTCTCTCGCTGGAAACTTCCTTGCTAATCACGCAGAACTCACGATCGATCCGCCCGCTCGGCCCGCCCGTCAGGGTCATGCCCTTCGTGGCCCATGCTCTCTCGCGCCCTTTGTGCCTCATTGCTGCCCTTCGTGGCCCCGATGCTGCCCTCAGTGGCCCCTCGCTGCCCTTTGTGGCCCATATATACGCCTTTTGTGGCCCCCAGTCGCTCGTGGCCTCAGTAGCCCCATTGCTGCCCTTCGTGGCCCCGCTGCTGCCCTCAGTGGCCCCCTCGCTGCCCTTTGTGGCCCATATATACGCCCTTCGTGGCCCCCAGTCGCTCGTGGCCTCAGTAGCCCCATTGCTGCCCTTCGTGGCCCCAGTGTAGCCCCGTGTGCCTCCCCCCTGCTGCCCTCAATGGCCCCCTCGCTGCCCTTTGTGGCCTATATATATATATATATATATATATTCGCCCTTCGTGGCCCCCAATCGCTCGTGGCCTCAGTGGCCCCATTGCTGACGACATTCGTGGCCCCGGCGTAGGCCCTTCCCTGATGGTCTGGTACCGGAAATTTTCGGTAGCGATTTCGACGCACCCCGAATTTCGGTAGCGACCGGATCTTCGTTTGAGGGCGTTGAAATAGCGGATTTCTGAACGGTTTGATACCGGTATTGGGCGCTACATTTCGGTATTTCGGTAGCGACCGATCTCTGCGGAGCGCTACCGGAAATTTTCGGTAGCGGACCATCAGGGCTTGTGGCCCGTATGTACGCCCGTCGTGGGACACAGTCGCTCGTGCCCTCAGTGGCCCCATTGCTGCCCTTCGTGGCCCCGCTGCTGCCGCGTGCTTTCCTGCTCTTAGCCGGCCTCCTATCAATCCCATTCGTGTTTCATCCTTGTCCAACCTCGCGGGACGACGTTCAGGACGTCACCCTGCGGTCCGTAACCAAGAGGAGGAGGAGGAGGAGGAGGAGGAGGAGGAGGAGGAGGAGGAGGAGGAGGAGGAGGGGAAGATGGGGGGAGGAGGTGGAAGGAGGGGGGAGGAGGAGGAGGAGGAGGAGGAGGGGTCTGCTTGGTCTTCATCCTTTCATTCCTCTCTCTCTCTCTCTCAGGCCCGGCGGCTCGCTTGGAAGCTCGCTGGGTGCTTGCACGTCCCGCACGCCCGACCCGCCCGTTATGGTCCGCCCGCAGGTCTGCAGGCCCCGCCCGCCCGACCCGCCCATTGGGGGCCGCTGCCCGACCCAATCGTCCGGGTCTGCCGCTTGTTTTCTGGATCCTCTCTTAAGCCACCCACCTTCTAATCTCTCTCGTCCGCAGTTCTGCTCCCTCCTTCTTGTCCCTTGCCTCCCTCCCTTCCCCCACTCCTTTCCTCCTCGCTTTCTCTCTCTCTCTCTCTCTCCCTCTCTCTTTCTGTCGCTCTCTCTCTCTCTCTCTCCTTTCTCTTTCTCGCTCTTTTAGTGGCTGCGCCCAATACACGTGGCAGGTCAGGAAGATGTACCACCCAGAGGGGGTACGATCGAAGACGAAGAGGGCGGGTATCGGGGGTTGGGGATGTACGTGGTGAGGTACGCGCGAGCAGATAAGAGCGAACCGTCTTAAAATGATTGTTAGTTGTTGTTGCTGCTGCTGTTGATTATTGTCGTCGTCCCACCCGCGACCCACCCGCGACCCACCCCGCGACCCACCCCGCGACCCACCCCGCGACCCAGCCGCGACCCATTTGCGACCCACCCGCGACCCACCCCGCGACCAACTTGTGACCCACCTGCGACCCACCCGCGACCAACCCCGCGACCCACCCCGCGACCCACCCGCGACCCACCCTGCGACCCACCCGCGACCCACTTGTGACCCACCCGCGACCCACCCCGCGACCCACCCTTGACCCACCTCACGACCCACCCGCGACGCAACAAGACTCACCCGCGACCCACCCGCGACCCATTTGCGACCCACCCGCGACCTACCCGCATTGGTTTAACGAAAAAATCGTCGCCTGCGGCGGGCTCGTTGCACAATTTGTGAAACTTTGACGCTGGCGTCGGGCTTCTCCAGAATCCTGCAGACTGCCAACGTCTCCACCGCCCCCTCATTCTTATCCGCATCTGCGGGGTGCTACGTGTTCTAGTTGTGGAGGAGGGAGGAGTAGGGAGGAGGAGGAGGAGGAGGAGGAGGAGGAGGAGGAGGAGGAGGAGATGAGGAAGGAGGAATGGGAGAAGAGGAGGAGGAAAGAGGAGGTAGGAAAAGGGGGGAGGAGGAGGAGGAGGAGAGGAGGAGGAGGAGTAGGAGGATGAGGGAGAGGAGGAGGAGACGAGGACGAGGACGCGGACGAGGACGGGGAGCCCGTCGGGCTGGCGCCAGGCCGCCGCGGGCGGCCACCGGCGGGGGCGCGCGGGGCGATGGGCGCAGGCGGTCCTCGAAGCAGCAGGCGAAGAGGGCGAAGTACAGAGTCTCTGGGCATCCAGGGGCGGAGGGGGAGGAGAAGAGAAGGAAGAGGAGAGGAGGAAGGAGGAGGAGGAGGGGAGGAGGGGAGGAGGAGGAGGAGGAGGAGAGGGGAGGGGGAGGTGGAGGGTGGAAGAGGAGGAGGAGGAGGAGGAGGAGGAGGAGGAGGAGGAGGAGGAGGAGGGGAGGAGGGGGAGGAGGGCGAGGAGGGCGGAGGAGGAGAGGAGAGAAAAGGAGGAGGAAACGAGGAGGAGAAGGAGAGGAGGAGGATAAGGAGGGGGAGGAGGGAAGGGAGGAAGAGGAGAGGAGGAGGAGAGAGGAGGAGGAGAGGAGAAGACGAAGAGGAGGAGGAGAAAACGAAGAGGAGGAGGCGGAGGAGAGAGGAGGAGGAGGAGGAAGGAGGAGGAGGAAGGAGGAAGAGAGGGAGGAGTAAAGGAGGAGGAAGGAGGAGGCGGAGGGAGGAAGAGGAGGAGGAGGAGGAGGAGAGGAGGAGGAAGGCAGGAGGAGAGGGACGGAGGGTACCCAAATCTCTCCTCCTCTCTTAGTCGCCATCATCATCATCATCATCATCATCATCATCATCATCATCATCATAATCATCTTCATCATCATCATCATCATCATCATCATCATCATCATCATCATCATCATCATCATCATCATCATCATCATCATCATCATCATCATCATCGTCGTCATCATCATCATCATCATCGTCATCGTCATCGTCATCGTCATCGTCACCGTCATCGTCATCGTCATCGTCGTCATCATCATCATCATCATCAACATCATCATCATCATCTCTCCTACCTTCTTCTCCTTCTCCCTCCTCCTCCTCCTCCTTCTCCTCTTCCTCCTCCTTCTCCTCCTCCTCCTCCTCCTCCTCCTCCTCCTCCTCCTCCTCCTCCCTCTAACCTCGAGGTGAGAGGTTTTCTGTCGTGTTCGTCTGTCGTCGGAGGTTTCGAGCTGCCGCATGCTTTCCAGCAGCCCCTGGAAGCCTCCCCAGGCCCGGCACCATGAAAAAACGGTTTGCGATATTAGACGCTGGCTCCAGGGAAGCGGGAGTGGTAAGTCCTCCCGTCCAAGGGCTCGCGCTGAACCCGAGAAGAGTTGGCGAACAGCACGGGGCTCTTGGGGCCGAGGAGGCTTGGGGTGAACCGGGTATATCACGGTAGCAACCCAAGGATTGCATTCTAGATATTGATGCATCCTGCTCGGTCATCGATTTAGGCTTGGAGAAGCGAATGCCACTGGAAAACAAAAATGGAGGATGAGGAGGAGGGGGAGGGAGAGGGGAGGGGGAGGAGGAGGAGCAGGAGGGGGAGGAGGAGGGATGAGACGAGGAGGAGGAGGAGGAGGACCAGTGTAAACCTAAGAGTCATCAGCGATCATACAAGAATCCCTCCCTCCAAGTTTCCTCTTCATTGCCCCCTACACGGATTCATTCCCATAGATGGATATGCCCCGTTGGAACACAGCCGTTTGAAAATCTGGCAGTGTGCCAGACAGCCGTTCTTGGGAGTTCCACGGCGCGAATCACCCGTACTGTTGCGTGTTGACGGTCCTGAATCGTGGCAGAATATCATGTTCGGGCTTCAACACCGCGAATCGACTTGATTGTTGCGCCCTGACAAACCGCCGTCGTGCCGAACCATCTCTTCTGGGACGTTAATTCTGAGATTCCTCCTTGAACTTGCTGCGAGTTCTTAAGACGAATGTGCGCGGCGCTAACGCGAGAGCCACACTTTGAAAGCGGGCCGCCCTCCATCTGTAAAGTGTTTGCAAACTTCGAGGCGAATGTGCGCAGTGCTGAGGCGAGAGCCACATTTTGATAATGGGCCGCCCTCCACCCGTAAAGCTCCTGCGAATTTTTGAAAAGAATGCGCGCGGCGCTACCGCGAGAGCCACATTTTGAAAAAAGGCCGCCCACCATCCGCAAAGCTCTTGCAAACTTTTGAGACGAATGTGCGCGGTGCTGAGGCGTGAGCCACAGTTTGAAAGCGGGCCGCCCTTCATCCGTAAAGCTCTTTCAAACTTACAGCTTCAGGATCATACATTGCCAGAAAGTCTTAGGTGAAACGCCCGGCTCGCCCGTTCGACCGGCCTCGGGGTGCGACAGGGAGGAGTTATCTCTCAGGAAAAAGAACGGATGATGAGGAGCAGGAGGAAGAGGAGGAGGAGGAGGAGAAGGAGGAGGAAGAAGAGGAGGAGGAGGAGCAGAGGGAGGAGGAGGAGCAGGAGAAGGAGGAGGAGGAGGAGGAGGAGGAGGAGGAGGAGAAGAAGGAGACCCCCCTCCTCTTGCCCCTCTTCCCCTCCGGCGCGACGGCGCGCGCTTGCAGGGCCGACAGGACCGACGCCGGGCGCAGGGTGGAGGCGGAGCACGCGGGCCCAGCGCGAAAGGCGTCGCCCAAAGCGTCGCCGTCGCCCTCGCCCAGGACTCCTGCAGCGGAGGGGGAGGACGAGGAGGAGGAGGAGGAGGAGGAGGAGGAGGAGGAAAAGGAAAAGGAGGAGGAGGAGGAGGAGGAGGAGGAAGAGGGGGAGGAGGAGGACGAGGAGGAGGACAAGGAGGAGGAGGAGGAGGAGGAAGAGGGGGAGGAGCAGGTGGAGGAGGAAGAGGAGGATAATGAGGTGGAGGAGGAGATGGAGGTAGATGAGGAGGAGGAGGAGGAGGTCGATCTGCATCGATGGGCACTCATTGTTTTTGGTGCTCAAGCCAGCTGTGCGCAGTGCTTTGTGGAATCACGAGGTGCAAATCAGTCTTCCACAGATGCCCCGAGCACGCTTGGCCCTGCAGTGCAGCCTGTGCTAATCCATGGTAAGCCTCCGCCTCCTGCACCTTTCCCTCTCTCCTCCGATGCCCTCGCCTTCCTCATCGGTCCCTCAGGACATCCGTCTCCAAGGAGCGCGTCGCGCTCCCGCTGGAGTCGCCCGCTCGCAGGACTGGGCGGGGGATGGCTACCAATGCTGCTTCACTAGTGCGACCAATGTTTGGAGTCGTCGTCGTCGTTGTCGTCGTCGTCGCCGGAGGAGGAGGAGGAATAAAAAGAGGAGGAGGAGAAGCAGGAGGAGGAGGAGGAGGACGATGACGAGGGGGGGAGGAGGAGGAGGATGAAGAGGGGGAGGAGGAGGAGGGAGGAGGAGGAGGAGGAGGAGGAGGAGGAGGAGGAGGAGGAGGAGGATTTACGGTGTATGGAGGGGAGAATAACAAGGAGGAGGAAGAGGAGGAGGAGGAGGGTATGAGGGGCATGCGGAGGAGAACGACAACAAGGAAGAGGAGGAAGGGGGGGTGGAGAAGAAGGAGGAGGAGGACACTGCTGGGGACATTGCTCATTAAATCTGACCTCTGATGGGCAACACATTGGTCGACGGCCCACTCGCTGCAAGTTCGAACTCACACGGGAGGCTGATGTGGAGCGCGATGCAGCACGTTGGCCAGCACGCTCGCAAAATCGAAAGGGCCTGAAGCTGCCCCTATGGCAGCGCACGGCACCTCCTACTATTCGGTCCCCGAGGCTCTGTTTCTTCTGATGGCATGGCCCTGCGCCAGACTCGTTTTTATGTGTTTTTGTTCGGTTCCTGAGGCTCATGGCTTCTGATGGCCTGCATTTCGCCGTTTTCGAATGCCAAAGGCCCGAGGCGGAGGCGGAGGAGGAGGAAGAAAAGGGAGGTGGAGGGTCGACACCCGCCGCTCAGACCGCTTCCGACCCGATCTTATTTACAGCGGTGAGCTTTTGGCAACAGCGGATGTGGATCTGGTCATCCACTGCGGTGGCCTCCAGCCTCTCCGGGAGAGACCGCCGGCTTGGCCCCCCATTCATCATCAGCTGTAGCACCACGTTCTCCGGAGCCGCTTGCCTGGTCAGGGTACGCGTACCAGCTTTCGCGCCCCTGCCCGTCAGCAGCACTGCGCCCCCCTTCTTGGCTCCTGGCGGCATTGCAACTTCCAAGCTTGTTGCCCAGAACTTCCAAGGTGGCACTGCGCCTGGATTGGTTTAGTCGGGGTCCGAAGGGCTCCTCCTCCCCAGCCTCCTCTACCCCCCCCCCCCTCCTTGCCCCTATCCGCCTCGTCCGCGTCATCCTCAGCCGCCACAGCGGTCCAGGACATATTTTTGTCCGCGGCTATCCCTTGGCATCGCTCGGACGTGTGCATTTTTCCTTCGGCAAGGACCATCGAGAAGCATCCTTGATCATTTGGCGAAAAAAAGCAGGCACGAAACCGACGAAAAACACAGGGAATGGACGTCCGAGCGATGGCCAGATCCCCACGTCAGAGGAAAGAGGTACCTCGAAGACGGCATGGTAGGATTCCCGCGGGGCGTGCCGAGCCCCACGACGGGGGAGGCCAGTGGCCCAGCGGGGGCGGGCCGCTCGCCGTGAGCTTCCCCGCAGGTTTGCGCCTTGCTTGGTTGGAGCACGACGTGAGCACCATCCAGCCTTCGCCCCCCGCCCAGAGGTTACACCACTACTCGAACATGAGATCACAACCCGATGCACCTGGCAGGTGAGCAGGCATGCTCAGACATGTCCTCGGAGTTTCAGAGTACGGGCGCCTTCCTCGTGCCAGGCACCAGCAGGAAGAGTGAGGACGACCGCCAGCTCTTCAAGCACGAAAGGCACGGGGAGCTTTCATTCGGCGGGACGACGGCCAGCGATCGCTCTTGCGGAGTCGGCATCATGTTGCACACCCAGATTCTCCATCAACGCTTCGTCAATATACGAACCTCACTCCCATTTGTGCGGGCGCTGCTGTTCTGTGAGGCTCAAATCAGGGACTCTGGATGTGTTGCTCTTTAGTTTCTTTGCTCGCCGCCGGAACGTGCCACGACGACGGAGTGCCGTCAGACACCGCCCAGAGTCTTATCACATGGACACGGTCGGTCTTGGAATGAATTGGCGATGCGCTCCCGTCTTGGGCCGCGGCCTCAACGATGACCTGGGTTTCGAACCCGACGGCAGAGCAGCACTTGTGTGTGGGAGGACGAGGGGGAGGACTATGCGGTTGGCCTCCTGGAGGTCTCGAAGGAAGGCATCGCGGGGCGCCCGTGCAACCATATGTTGGTTGACGCGGGCTTCGCGGCCGTCAGTACTTTGTGCAGGTGGGCCCCCGCCTTCTTCGGCAGCATGGGCCACGCGACGAGAACTGGCTTCATTTTCATTCCGGGGGGGGGTCACCACTCCAATCTCAAGTCGACGGCTCCAACCGATTCGGAGCCTGGGCGACAGGGGCCACCCACCCGTTTCCGTGGAACCCGATTCGTGTGTGCCAGGCCAGATGGGGTTGAAACCAAGTTCTGAATTTGGTGAGATTATGGCATCGGTTCGGAGCGGCGAGAATTGCAAACGGCTGGCCCTCACGTGATGAGGAAAGCGAACGGGTCATAATAGGTACGAGACCTTACCGCGGACGAGCTATGGACCTATGGGATTCGACGGTGAGTCTTCTGGTATCCATGACCCAGGAACCTTTCGGTCGGCCTCCCGAGCCAGAATCTTCGAAATCAGCCTCGTAAAAAGGAGCAGTCCGACCTTCACGACAAAATAGGACAGCTCAGAGGTCACGCCTCTGGAATTATAGGTGGCACTGACACGCACTACATATCGCTTCCGCCCACTGCCCAAGCAGATTGCCAGGGCCACGAACGCAAGTCTGGTCGAGGGGGCGAGCGAGGCTTGGACAGCGCGCGACCATCGCACGATACAGAAGGTGCTCAGACGTCTTTCTCGGAAGCGGGCGGGGACCTCGCCGGCGGCGGCGCTTCGCGGCAAAGACGGAACGGCGCAGGGCGGAGCAAATGTTGGAGCGCCCCCGACGGCGGGCTCGGGCGACCTGCAACCTCGAGGCGGACAGCTCGGCGAAACATTCGACCGACAGCGCGACGAAGAGGATGGCGCTGCGACGCAACGCAGATGGTCGACCTCGAAGAGGCCGCCCTTCGACCGGCCCAGGGAGAGGGTCGCGGGCGCCCTCCGCTCGCCCCCAGAGAGGCGGGCTTCTCGTCGCTGCTCGACGACCATGTCTGGGGGCCTTTTTTCAGCGGGCCGGGCCGGGAGCGGAGGCGCGCCCGCCGACGGCCGTCGCCTTCGCGGGAGGGGCGACGGACATCGTCGCGCGCTCTCGGCGAGGCAGGCAAACGCCCTCGTCGCTCGACGCATCTCGCTGCGTCGGGCCCGAGGAGGGGAAGGGGAAGCAGGGGTTCAGGGCTCGGCGCGGGCGCGCGCGGTCTGTCCGATTGGGGGGGCTTGAGACCCAGACCTCTGGAAGCGGCAGCGTCGGCATCGAGATCGCCCGCGCGCTCGCCGCCGCGGCTTCGCCCTGCGTCGCCGCCGGGAGGGCGCGATCGGAGCCCCGGCTTGTCTTTTCTGGAGATTGGCGGCGGATGGGCTTCCGCGGGCCATCATTGACCAGGGCGCTTCCAACGCCGTCGCTGCACCTCCCCGCGGGCTTCGCCCGCGCCTTGTCTCTTCGCAGCATCGTCGCAACATCGAGGTCGCGTTTCAGGTCGAGCCCCCCCCCCCCCCCGCCCGCCAGCGCGATCTCGGCGCGCCCGACCGCGGGCGAGATGACGCGCGGCTCCGACCCCGCTCGTGCCCCCCCTACCGCTGCGAAGCCAGCCTCGCGAAGTTTCGCGACACTCGATCGAGAACAACTTCGAGAGAGCTCGTCGAAGCCCTCGAGACCGACCATCGACGGGTCTGCGAGGGAAACAGGGCCAACGATCTTCGCCGACGACAACGAAGGCGGCCATTCCAGAGCGGGGGCCGAGTTCTTCCGAGAGTGGAGAGGGGAGAGGGCCTCAGAGCACGACTTCGGCAGCCTCAGCTACGTCCAGCAGTGCGCACCTGAGCGCAGCTTTGCGCGAGGTCGGGGGCTATGCTGAATCGGGACAAACGCGCAATGCTTGTGGAGGGCGATCAATGGAGAGGAAGCACGTTGCCAAATAATTTCCAGATGAACGATAGGACTGTTAGGGCGTCCATTGTCGTGGCATTCGCAACGTTGAGCTGGCGCCGTTTTTGTTCCGGGCGCGGCCGCGCTGCTCAACGTCGACCGCGGCGCGCCGGCTCGGCGCGCATCGATGGCATCGGGGCCGGCGCGTCCAGATCCTCGAGGGCTGGCACATTTCCTTGGGGCCCCTGGCCGCGCGGCGGGCAATGCCTCTGCAGGCGGGTTGTTTCGGTTTCGCGCCCAAGGTTCGGGCCCGGCCCGCGGCCGGGAGCATTGAGCTAACGTCTATCACCGCTGTCGCGCAGTCCGCCCTTCCTGCCGGTCTTGAGGCCCGGGCGATCGATCGCGCGCTCGAGGGGCAGCCCAGCCGCGCGCGGCCCACGGCGGCGCGCAGGGGTCAGTGGCTCAAGGGAGACGCCATAGGACCCGACGGGGATCTCAGAAGATGGTCTCATCAGAAAGATGGGAGTCGCCGCCTTGGGCGGCGTCAGACTTGGGCCAACCGCCCTGAGGGCCGCCGCCAGGTCGGGGCTTGCGGCGCAGGCTCCCCGGGCAGCTTCGACGCGATCGCCCCGCCCCGAGGCCTGGGCCCCCTGGCCCCCGAGGGCCCGGCCCCTGTCGCGCGCTTGCGCTGCGATGGGGCCGGAGCAGCCTGCCCCGTCGGGCCGCTGGCTCTTGAGAAACCTCCTTGCCGGAGGCCCGGCCCTGCGTCGCGCTCCCCGGCCAGCGCCCGGGGCGCCCCCCCCCCCCCCGTCGTCCTCGTCGTGCTCGTCGTCCTCGTCGTGCTCGTCGTCCTCGTCGTGCTCGTCTCCGTCGTCGTTCTCCTCGTCCTCGTCGTCGTCCTCGTCCTCGTCCTCGTCGTCCTCCTCGCCCTCGTCGTCCTCGTTTCGCCCTCCTCCTCGTCGCCGCCGCTCGCCCCCCAAGGCCCCGCGCAGCTCGCGCGCGGCGCGCCTCCTGGCCGCGGGGGCGAGGCGCAGCGAGGAGTTCGGCGCCGCGAG